CGGAGGGCTTAGATAATTTAGAACAGAATATGGAGCCTGAGGAAGAAAAGGGTAATGAAAAGCAAGACGAAATCCAAAACGAGTTAGAACCTGAACCCGAAGAACAAAAATCGGATGAAAAGCAAGACGAGTTAGAACAGGAAGACGAAAGACATAAAGAAAAGCATAAAGAGAAAACCAAAGAAAAACAACAAGAGGATGAGCAACAAGATGACCCCGAATATTCAGGTAATAGAGAAAAATAATGACTAGCCTTATCAGTATTGACCCAGGAGGAAAGACGGGCATTTATTACCAAAATAAAGAACAACAACAATTCCTCGAAATAAATAAGCCGTGAAAGGAAACTTATGAAGAGATTAAAGAGTTAGTAAAAAATAAGCAAATTCAGCAAGTTATTTTTGAAGATACTAATTATATCCATAAAAAAACTAAGGATGGATTAAACCTATTCCGATTATTAGGAGCAATTGAATGTTTGGAAGTAGAGAGGATGGAGAAAGTGAATGTTTTAAAAGTTAAAGAATTAACCAAGCAATTATTTAAAGGAATTAAGCAAATAGAGGGTATAGAGTATTTACCAGGGAGAGGTAAAGGGTGAATGTTTAAAAATAAAAGGGTTAGTATTCATCAGTTAGAGGCTTATTTAGTGTTTTATTTATTCATCAAAAGCCAAAGTCAAATGTAAAGCCTCTTGAATTTCTTTCATAACTGATTTATCTAATTGTCCTAAGTATTTACCTAATCTTTTTTTATCAATCGTGGTAATTTGGTCGGTGAGAGTTTTGCCCTTTTGTCTATTTATTTCCGTTAGCACTTCAAACGGATAAACTTTATCTAATTGAGAAGTTAAAGGGATAATAGTTATTAAGGGACTATAAAGATTTTGTTGATTATTAGAAATAATAACGGCTGGATGAATGCCTTGTAATTCATGAATAATATCTTTTGCTTTTTCCTCCTCATTAGGTAAAGATAAATTAACTCAATAAACTTCTCCTCTTCTAATTATTTGCTGAGCCATTATTTTTTATGTAAGTCTTTATTTCGTTCTTTTTTACTTCTTTCGGCTCAATCACTAACGGCAGCCTTTTCTCATTTTTGAGCCTCTTGATATCTTTGGGGATTGCTTCATGCCTCCCGATAGGCTTGTCCTAATTCCTCCTCACTAATTTTCTTGGTTGGGTTTTCTTGTTCTTGGTAAATTTCATAATTAATATGTTTCTCTTCCAAAAACTTTTTTACCTCTTTTCCGTTATTGGTTTTAATAATTATTAGTTCTGACATAATATTTTATTTTATTTTAACATCTCAATAAATCAATCTCTACTCCTAAAATCTCTAAACTTCAACATTCCTTCTTTAAGCATATTTACTCATTTAGCCAATAAGTTCTTTTTTTCTCTTAGCACACAATTTTTTAGTTTACTTTTAGCCTTCTCTTCCAAGTTAAAACAAAAATTTACTAATGAATTATCAGTTTCTTTCTTATTCTTGGTAAAATGCATTAGACAGTATTTTTTGTTTACTTTTCTTACTCCCACTTCACAAAAATAAAAGTCTTGGATAGCATGGAGGATTTTATATTTACCTGGTTCATCAATCATAAAATCATCCCAGTTTCTTTGACTAGGATTAATTTTTTCCTCTAAGGCTGAATAATGGGGGTCATCTTCTCCCTCTATGAGATTAATATAGAGTAGTCATTCCACACCTTTTTTATCTTTTACTATTTCTAATACTCCTTCATTATCTCCTTTTTCTTTCTTTTCTTCAGCATCTTTTTTTAGTTTAAATAAGTTAGTAAAAACATCTAATAATCAAGCACTCCATGAATAAGCATTAGCCAAGAAAGTTATTTTAGTTGGTATTCTCTCTCCATCTTTACCCTTTCTTCCCTTTAAACTCTTAACTAAATCTCGGAAGTCATGTTGTTCTCTTGGTAAGAATTCTTGGTCGATAGGAATGGCTTCTTCAAAAACTATTTCCGAGAAAGAGATACGGGCAATGGCTCCTCTAACTCTTTGATAACTAAATAAATCATAAAAATGAATTCTTAATAGTCCTTGGTAAAATACTCCTTGTTCTTTGATTTCAAAATGATTAAGGTTTAAATTTTTTTCCTCACAAAAACTATAAATTAATCCTTGAAAAAATGGTTTAGTGGCTAGGAGGCTATCGTGTCAACGACGACGAATTCAGGCTACATTATTTTCTTTATTAGTGGTAATAATGGTTAAGAATTCTCAGCCCTTGGTGTCGGATTTTCCTCTTCCTCGTTCAGTGAGGTAAATATGAAAGAGAACTGGTTGCTGGTAGATTTGGGGTCAGTTGATATATTTGTTAGTCATTTATTAAGGAATTTTAGCAGCAATGTGTCCGAAAAGGGTATAGTGAAAAAGGTGTTGATAAAAGTTTATTAGTTGGATTAATTTAATTGATATTTTGGTTGTAAAAAGTGGTGTATAATTTTTTGGCCTATTCCTCTTTATATATATAAGACTTGTTTTTTTTTTATTATAATATGTGTATGTGTGTGTAGAGCAAAAGATTGTTGTTCCAACTTTGTTTTGTTATTCCAACCAATAATTAGTTGTAAAATCTTCTGTGGTTGTAAAATGGTTGTAAAAAATATTGGTTGTAAAATAGATTATTATGGATAAGGTTTTTATTTAGTTTTTGATTAATTTTTAGTGGTTCAGTATAAAATAAGCATTTTATAAATAGTTTTTTAAGTAAAATAAGTTAATATGGATAAGTTTATTATTCTTTATTTAGTAGTATAATTTATGTCGGAGTATCTTTTGCTTTTACAACTCCCATGTTTTACCTTTACAACTTTTAAAGATAATCAAACATCTCTTTCTTTTTTTTCTAATCGGCTATTATCTAACTTATCACCCAAACAGCCTTCATTGCTAGGAACTGTAATTAACTCATAATTATTTTCTTTTATTTCTTGGTCGTTAAAAGGTTGTTGACATTCACTACACTTAAACTCTTTAACTAGTTCTGAATTGTGGCAATTTATTCTTAATATTAAACTCCTTAGCATAATTAATTTTTAAATTATTCATATTTGTCGGTTTCCTCACCCTTAATCTTTCTTAACTCCTTAAATCTATCTTTGACTTTCTTAATGTAAGGTCTTAACTTATTATAAAACTCCCCCTGCTTATTCCTTCAAACAGTGTCGTGTCCTGGGTTTCCTTCTCCTGATGGGTCATGTTGACCACTAAGAGGATTAAAATTGGGATGCCTCTTAACTTCGGGGCTAGCATGAGCCGTCTCGTGGGGAATAGTAGGAAAATAACCCTCTCCATCAAAATAATAACTCCCTTCGGTTTGTAAAGCTCATTTAGAAATCTTTATTTTAGTTGGTCGAGGACAAGGACAGCAGAATACACCACTATAAGGGGGGTAAATTGGTCGTCGGTAAGATTTAGTTTCTACTATTTCTCCTCTTGGATTAACATAATAAACAAAATCTAATTTTCAGCAGTTAGAAGTTTGAAGGAGAGTTTCGGAATGTCTTTTAACAAATAAATCAGCCTCATTAAAGTCGTTTTCATGATATTCGGTTGCTCCTCAACCACTTAAATCCTGACTACAATCCACCACATAATTATATTTCCCTCTTGGCAAACACTTATCAATCATTTCTTCGGTTAATTTTACTTGGTCTCTCATTCACTTATCTAAATCCAAAGCAGGTTCATCTCCTCGGGTTTTTCTTCCATCCAAATAATCCTTATTCTCCTCCAATAACTCCTCTTCTCTACCTACTCAATAACTACAAGCAGAACAAGTTCAACAATCAGAACTCCAACTTCTAGCATTACATTTAGGACATTTAATTAATTGAGACATATTATTATTTACTTTATTATCTTAAAAATATTTCGTGTGTGTATGTGTGTAATAAGCAGGCAGACCGTAGGCTATAAGTAAGCCCAAAGCCATTGGGGCTAGAACGAGAAATAAAAATCGAAGTTCTAGCCTTTTTAAGAAAAAGTGCTATCTCTTGCTGGT